AGTGCTATATTTTAATCTCCTGTGTTTCTCCCCCGGCCCCTTCCACTCAGTGATCCTGGGGCTTAAACTCAGGGCCTGGGCTAGGTCTCTGAGAGCCTCTCTATGCTTAAGGCTAGCTCTCTACCACTTGAGCCACAGCTCCACTTCCAGACTTTTTTGAGTAGTTTATTGAAGATAAGAGTTTCAAAGACTTTCCTGCCCGTGCTGGCTTTAAATTTCAGTCCTCAGATCTCAGACTCCTGAGTAGTTAGGATTACAGGCCTTGTCTCCTATCTTTGCTGTTGTTTCTTGTTTTGCTGAGTTGGGATCTCACTACATGGCTCAGGATGGTTTGAACTTCTGATCCTCCTATACCAGCCTCCCAAATGCTGATTATAGTCAGGAGCCGCCGTGCTTGAGTTCTGTCGTTTTTTTTTTTGTCAGTCACGGGGCCTGAACTCTGGATGTAGGCGCTGTCCCTCAGGTCTTCAGCCCAAGCAAGGCTAGCGCTCTACCACTTGAGCACTTGAGCCACAGCACCACTTCGTTTTCTGGTGGTTAATTGGAGATAAGAGTCTCCCAGACTTTCCTATCCAGACTGGCTTTGAACTATGATCCTCAGATCTCAGCCTCCTGAGTAGCTAGAATTATAGGCGTGAGCCACCTGCACCAGGCTCTGTCTTTTCTTGACAAAGTATTTTATTTTAATTTTGATCTGAGGTGGAGGGTGTACTACTGGCAGATTTTACATTTTCTCATTCACTTGTTGGTGTCTCATCATGGAAGGAAGGTAGACATGTGGAATCCAAAGAAAGTCTGCAGCAATGGGTTCATTGTCCAATTGTTTGAGCCGCCATGAAGGGAAAGCCAAGTGCCATTCCATATGTGTAACTTCACTGAGATAAAGCTATGGCCAGAGAGGTCGTGTTCGTGTTCAAATTCAGATCTGGTCTTCTCTCAGGGTTGACTACTCTTGGTCTGAGTTAGCATGCATTAATTTAAAAATACATAAACAGTGCTGGAATTGGATCAGTGGCAGAGTGCTTGCCTCACATGCAAGAGGCCCTGGGTTCAATTCCTCTGCACCACATAAGCAGAAAAAAAGCCAGAAGTGGCGCTGTGGCTCAAGTGGTAGA